ATCGTAAGCTGTCGAAAGCTCCGCACTCCTAAGTTAGAGTGGACGGTACCTTTAAGAGGCGGGAAATAGAAAAATTTCTCAATCATAAATGTTGTTAAAATTTTGAAATTCTTTCGAAAAAAGGAAGAAAAATGGGTCCAAAGTGAGGCAACTTTCACGAAAAGTGGTCCTTATTTAAAATGCCAATGTCCCGGAGCGAAGCTGGGAGAAAAGACGAAATGCAGACATTTAGCCATACGAGGTAGAAAAGGTCTTCTAAGTGGAGGTGTGGTGTATGGGAGTCGGAGAATAGCAGGCAAACCTGGAGCGATAGCACGGCTACGAGTTTTGCTGCCTGACGCTTCGCAGCACCCTTATTAAAGGAGGAAGCCGTAAAGCAAAAGTCCTTCCCAGAAAATGGGGGGGTCTGAGTTTCCATTTTTTATATATAGAAGATATAGAAGTGACAGCATTATTCTGGCATCCTCATTTTACGAGGATCAGGCTCATCATCGGTTGACAGCCAATCGAGATGAGCTTCTACGAGAACAGCACGGGTGAGTGATTTTTGGGGAAGGAGGTGTGTTCGCTGTTGTTGCCCGAAGCCGGTTTTCCGCAGCAGGGATTGGATGTTTCAACGGAGGGGCGGGCATTACCGGAGGAGGCAGTGCCGAATTGCACTCTCGTGCCTCTTCGACATTCCGAAGCGGTATTCTCGCGTCCGAAGCGACATTTTGCCTCGCGATTTGAGCATTGGCTTCGCAGGGGTCCTAATATCGTAAGCTGTCGAAAGCTCCGCACTCCTAAGTTAGAGTGGACGGTACCTTTAAGAGGCGGGAAATAGAAAAATTTCTCAATCATAAATGTTGTTAAAATTTTGAAATTCTTTCGAAAAAAGGAAGAAAAATGGGTCCAAAGTGAGGCAACTTTCACGAAAAGTGGTCCTTATTTAAAATGCCAATGTCCCGGAGCGAAGCTGGGAGAAAAGACGAAATGCAGACATTTAGCCATACGAGGTAGAAAAGGTCTTCTAAGTGGAGGTGTGGTGTATGGGAGTCGGAGAATAGCAGGCAAACCTGGAGCGATAGCACGGCTACGAGTTTTGCTGCCTGACGCTTCGCAGCACCCTTATTAAAGGAGGAAGCCGTAAAGCAAAAGTCCTTCCCAGAAAATGGGGGGGTCTGAGTTTCCATTTTTTATATATAGAAGATATAGAAGTGACAGCATTATTCTGGCATCCTCATTTTACGAGGATCAGGCTCATCATCGGTTGACAGCCAATCGAGATGAGCTTCTACGAGAACAGCACGGGTGAGTGATTTTTGGGGAAGGAGGTGTGTTCGCTGTTGTTGCCCGAAGCCGGTTTTCCGCAGCAGGGATTGGATGTTTCAACGGAGGGGCGGGCATTACCGGAGGAGGCAGTGCCGAATTGCACTCTCGTGCCTCTTCGACATTCCGAAGCGGTATTCTCGCGTCCGAAGCGACATTTTGCCTCGCGATTTGAGCATTGGCTTCGCAGGGGTCCTAATATCGTAAGCTGTCGAAAGCTCCGCACTCCTAAGTTAGAGTGGACGGTACCTTTAAGAGGCGGGAAATAGAAAAATTTCTCAATCATAAATGTTGTTAAAATTTTGAAATTCTTTCGAAAAAAGGAAGAAAAATGGGTCCAAAGTGAGGCAACTTTCACGAAAAGTGGTCCTTATTTAAAATGCCAATGTCCCGGAGCGAAGCTGGGAGAAAAGACGAAATGCAGACATTTAGCCATACGAGGTAGAAAAGGTCTTCTAAGTGGAGGTGTGGTGTATGGGAGTCGGAGAATAGCAGGCAAACCTGGAGCGATAGCACGGCTACGAGTTTTGCTGCCTGACGCTTCGCAGCACCCTTATTAAAGGAGGAAGCCGTAAAGCAAAAGTCCTTCCCAGAAAATGGGGGGGTCTGAGTTTCCATTTTTTATATATAGAAGATATAGAAGTGACAGCATTATTCTGGCATCCTCATTTTACGAGGATCAGGCTCATCATCGGTTGACAGCCAATCGAGATGAGCTTCTACGAGAACAGCACGGGTGAGTGATTTTTGGGGAAGGAGGTGTGTTCGCTGTTGTTGCCCGAAGCCGGTTTTCCGCAGCAGGGATTGGATGTTTCAACGGAGGGGCGGGCATTACCGGAGGAGGCAGTGCCGAATTGCACTCTCGTGCCTCTTCGACATTCCGAAGCGGTATTCTCGCGTCCGAAGCGACATTTTGCCTCGCGATTTGAGCATTGGCTTCGCAGGGGTCCTAATATCGTAAGCTGTCGAAAGCTCCGCACTCCTAAGTTAGAGTGGACGGTACCTTTAAGAGGCGGGAAATAGAAAAATTTCTCAATCATAAATGTTGTTAAAATTTTGAAATTCTTTCGAAAAAAGGAAGAAAAATGGGTCCAAAGTGAGGCAACTTTCACGAAAAGTGGTCCTTATTTAAAATGCCAATGTCCCGGAGCGAAGCTGGGAGAAAAGACGAAATGCAGACATTTAGCCATACGAGGTAGAAAAGGTCTTCTAAGTGGAGGTGTGGTGTATGGGAGTCGGAGAATAGCAGGCAAACCTGGAGCGATAGCACGGCTACGAGTTTTGCTGCCTGACGCTTCGCAGCACCCTTATTAAAGGAGGAAGCCGTAAAGCAAAAGTCCTTCCCAGAAAATGGGGGGGTCTGAGTTTCCATTTTTTATATATAGAAGATATAGAAGTGACAGCATTATTCTGGCATCCTCATTTTACGAGGATCAGGCTCATCATCGGTTGACAGCCAATCGAGATGAGCTTCTACGAGAACAGCACGGGTGAGTGATTTTTGGGGAAGGAGGTGTGTTCGCTGTTGTTGCCCGAAGCCGGTTTTCCGCAGCAGGGATTGGATGTTTCAACGGAGGGGCGGGCATTACCGGAGGAGGCAGTGCCGAATTGCACTCTCGTGCCTCTTCGACATTCCGAAGCGGTATTCTCGCGTCCGAAGCGACATTTTGCCTCGCGATTTGAGCATTGGCTTCGCAGGGGTCCTAATATCGTAAGCTGTCGAAAGCTCCGCACTCCTAAGTTAGAGTGGACGGTACCTTTAAGAGGCGGGAAATAGAAAAATTTCTCAATCATAAATGTTGTTAAAATTTTGAATTTCTTTCGAAAAAAGGAAGAAAAATGGGTCCAAAGTGAGGCAACTTTCACGAAAAGTGGTCCTTATTTAAAATGCCAATGTCCCGGAGCGAAGCTGGGAGAAAAGACGAAATGCAGACATTTAGCCATACGAGGTAGAAAAGGTCTTCTAAGTGGAGGTGTGGTGTATGGGAGTCGGAGAATAGCAGGCAAACCTGGAGCGATAGCACGGCTACGAGTTTTGCTGCCTGACGCTTCGCAGCACCCTTATTAAAGGAGGAAGCCGTAAAGCAAAAGTCCTTCCCAGAAAATGGGGGGGTCTGAGTTTCCATTTTTTATATATAGAAGATATAGAAGTGACAGCATTATTCTGGCATCCTCATTTTACGAGGATCAGGCTCATCATCGGTTGACAGCCAATCGAGATGAGCTTCTACGAGAACAGCACGGGTGAGTGATTTTTGGGGAAGGAGGTGTGTTCGCTGTTGTTGCCCGAAGCCGGTTTTCCGCAGCAGGGATTGGATGTTTCAACGGAGGGGCGGGCATTACCGGAGGAGGCAGTGCCGAATTGCACTCTCGTGCCTCTTCGACATTCCGAAGCGGTATTCTCGCGTCCGAAGCGACATTTTGCCTCGCGATTTGAGCATTGGCTTCGCAGGGGTCCTAATATCGTAAGCTGTCGAAAGCTCCGCACTCCTAAGTTAGAGTGGACGGTACCTTTAAGAGGCGGGAAATAGAAAAATTTCTCAATCATAAATGTTGTTAAAATTTTGAAATTCTTTCGAAAAAAGGAAGAAAAATGGGTCCAAAGTGAGGCAACTTTCACGAAAAGTGGTCCTTATTTAAAATGCCAATGTCCCGGAGCGAAGCTGGGAGAAAAGACGAAATGCAGACATTTAGCCATACGAGGTAGAAAAGGTCTTCTAAGTGGAGGTGTGGTGTATGGGAGTCGGAGAATAGCAGGCAAACCTGGAGCGATAGCACGGCTACGAGTTTTGCTGCCTGACGCTTCGCAGCACCCTTATTAAAGGAGGAAGCCGTAAAGCAAAAGTCCTTCCCAGAAAATGGGGGGGTCTGAGTTTCCATTTTTTATATATAGAAGATATAGAAGTGACAGCATTATTCTGGCATCCTCATTTTACGAGGATCAGGCTCATCATCGGTTGACAGCCAATCGAGATGAGCTTCTACGAGAACAGCACGGGTGAGTGATTTTTGGGGAAGGAGGTGTGTTCGCTGTTGTTGCCCGAAGCCGGTTTTCCGCAGCAGGGATTGGATGTTTCAACGGAGGGGCGGGCATTACCGGAGGAGGCAGTGCCGAATTGCACTCTCGTGCCTCTTCGACATTCCGAAGCGGTATTCTCGCGTCCGAAGCGACATTTTGCCTCGCGATTTGAGCATTGGCTTCGCAGGGGTCCTAATATCGTAAGCTGTCGAAAGCTCCGCACTCCTAAGTTAGAGTGGACGGTACCTTTAAGAGGCGGGAAATAGAAAAATTTCTCAATCATAAATGTTGTTAAAATTTTGAAATTCTTTCGAAAAAAGGAAGAAAAATGGGTCCAAAGTGAGGCAACTTTCACGAAAAGTGGTCCTTATTTAAAATGCCAATGTCCCGGAGCGAAGCTGGGAGAAAAGACGAAATGCAGACATTTAGCCATACGAGGTAGAAAAGGTCTTCTAAGTGGAGGTGTGGTGTATGGGAGTCGGAGAATAGCAGGCAAACCTGGAGCGATAGCACGGCTACGAGTTTTGCTGCCTGACGCTTCGCAGCACCCTTATTAAAGGAGGAAGCCGTAAAGCAAAAGTCCTTCCCAGAAAATGGGGGGGTCTGAGTTTCCATTTTTTATATATAGAAGATTTGCAGTCTTCAGTGGGCGGAAGGGGCTGGTATTCTTGTCATGGCTCAAGCATCCAACACTGCAGGCGGTGCGCCCGCTGCGAGTAACTCCGACGCGCCGGCTTCAGAGAGTAAGTGGCATTGTTCGTGGCGTTAAATCTGTCGAAATTTCTGTATAATTCCAGATAGAAGTATCATAAACACCCAAAGAATGGTGTTTGGCATGGGGAGTAAGTATTTGAGTTTCTTGACGGGATAGCTATAAGGAAGCTGCTTGTAGTGCGTTTCAGCGAGTTTACAGCTGTATTGTCTTTTTGAATGCGAGCAAAATCGAAAGCATCAAAGCTCAAAAAACAGCGGAAATCGCGCCTTTTTACCGCGATTTCTATTTGAGGCGCTGTTCTTATGCTCAGTAAATAGCCACAAGCATCTGTGCATGCTGCCCTATAGAAAGGACCGCAGCAACAGTCCTTGTTGATAGCCTAAAGTTAGCAATGGTTGAGTTGCGCTGGCACTCGCCGTTCAATTTTTGCATAACACATCCATCCGGCATGTCACCCACAAGGACGAGCGGGCTTTTTTTCAAAACATAACATCGTAAAAGGGTCCTCCGTCTGGCTTTTGTCCTGCAATACCGGGTCAAACATTCTGCAAACAGGTGATTTGTTTGACAAGGAAGCCTGCAAGCAGGGCTCGGCACGAGCTGGCGCCAGGGAAATTCTGAAACGAAGTCCCCTTTGATCTCGAAAGTTTCGTACGAAGTCCCCTTTGACGTGTTTTGCATCGGGCGCGCTTTGTGATTGGAGCAGATTTTTCGACTGCGGAGCAGACCGAGAAAATTCCAGATGGCTATAAAATGCCGAAAAAAAACATTATGAAATTGTTTTTGTTCTATATGTAAACTTTTACTGTGGAGATACATTTTATGTAAAAAAGTAAGAAAACTTATGTGAGCAAAGTGTCGGTGCCAGCTGAGCTGGCACCCAGCTGACACGGTGCCAGCTAATTCAGAAAAAAGTTCGGCACAGCTTTCATTCACATAAGTTTTCATAAATTTCTGGGCCATAGTTCGAGTCCTCCAACGCGCATGCACACACCAAATTTGGTGCCATATAATTGCGTTTTGGTTGTAAAAAAAAAGGCTTTTGTTTGTGCCAGGGGCACTCCGCTGGCGACTTGCCGGCAGCGTGTCCCTGGCATTCTAGCAAACAGCGGCATCTAACCCGCAAAAACGATATCCCCTTTGCTTTCCGCCCCAAAAGCGATATCCACCTTGACCCGGTGCTAGCTGTGCCGAGCCCTGTCTGCAAGCTATGGGCTGGGCCCAAGAAGTGTTAGAAAAACCTACTAATTTGCGAAAACGCGCTGAAAGGAGAAGATTTCGTAGATAGTCAATTTTCAAGCACATACCCAAAGGAAACTTTTGTCTAGATATATAACCGATGGTGGTCAATGTCATAATGGCAATCATCAAGCCATAGTGAACCAAGAAACTAATAAAAATTCCCATTTGTTCTTCTACAGGAAGGTTTTCCAAAATAATTCTTACATAAAAAAAGCTTTTGGAGTGAATGATCGTTTACAGTTCATTCATGATGGTCAACACTGCGTCTGAGCTCCGGAGACACCTTTATGCGAGCACGAGAAAAGCAAAAGATATTAGAACCAGTCCCCAGCGGAGCGGAAGACGTACTGGTGTAGTCCGGAAATTGGTGAAACATCTGCGCAAGGCCGATAATGCCCAGAGGAGAAAATAAACATCATTTTGTGGTAGCAGTCGCTTGCCTCGGTATAAAAATTGTAGGGGGCTCTATGTCGGGACACTGGTCTGTCTTCAGCAGCTGCACGGACGATAGTGGCGTTGAACGGGAAGTAAAGGCACCGTCCCGCCTAAGTCAGGGGTCTTGAGCTTTTGGGAGCTTATAATAGTAGAACTCCCTATCAAGCAGGGCCCAAGCCGCGGCGCAAATTGTCGCTTCGGAAGCGAGAAATTCGCTTTGGAACAGCTAAGAGGCTTGAAGACCCAGATCGGCACCGCCCTCCCCTGGTGATGCCCGCCCATCCATGCGCGCCCATCCAACCACCGTTCCGAAGAGCTGGCCTGTGGGTTGTTCTCCGATTGTCGGGGTTTTCGCGTCTTGACTATTCGGAATCAGGGACATGAGAAGCTCCGAAATGACCAAAACACGGAAGTCGAGAGCCTGGGCGAACGGTGCCATCATTAACACTTGCAGTATGACCGGCGGCCATGACACTAGGCACTGAGCGTGGATGTTTCGATTGACGTTCACGTTGACAGCGGCTCGGCACGGATGATGTTGAAGTGGGAGGAGGCAGAATATGTTGCCTGCGGACGCGGTTTTTCACGCCATGTGGTTAGTTCAAAGCGGGAAGGAGTCTCTGCCTCGAGGCACAACTCCTAGGCCTCTTTAGCTGCCAAAGAGGGGAAAACCCAGAATCAAAAACAATAACACGCTCTCCCATCGTGTCCCCAAAAATCGACCATTGTGAGGTCAGCCAAGAACAACAAGGTATGGATAAGAGAGGTAAATTAAATATTTAGTAGGAACCAAAGTGGGCTACTGGGATTATCGAAAGATGTACTATACGCAGATAGGAGCATCCTTGTTTTTAGCCTTAATTGAGCAATTGACAAGGAAATAATCTGGGTTGAGCTCAAGGACAGTGGATCTGCAAAGTGGAACCTTCTCGGATTTTGGTGGGTTTAAGTATAGACCCCCCCCCCCCCAAAGTACACTGTGGTCCATACCCCATCTGCCAACTCATGCGCTAAGTCCTGGAAAATGGGTTTCAAAACTCCAACGACCTCTTCCACTTCCATGGAGTTTTTTAGCTCGTTTTCAGGGCTTAGCGATGAATTGACAGATGTCTGGGTTGCAAAAGTGGCAATTTTTTTTGGTCTTCTCGAATCCTTCTTTCATTTGGTTCCCTTTCTGCTTCCCTCATCGACTCGCCCACCAGCTGCTTGAGTGAAATGAAACGCAGGGCTCCATCCTGGCAGACAAATGCGGCGCGTGATTGACAATGTGGTACTATGGTACCTATTAATGTGAACAATGTAAGAACATAGTTGAGGTTGGAATCTGGCGAAGATGTGGACGACAGAGCGCAATGCCGACAAGCACTTGAGAATGCGCCGTAGTAACCCCAAGGGCAAGTAGTATATATTAATTGATCGACTGTCGTTGCTGCAGCGATTGCCAACTGAGGCCCCGGGCAGAGTTCACGCGATTTGATCGTCGCGATTGAATCGCTACAAGACAACTGTTACGAGTTCATTGCATGCCGACTATACTTGGGTAATTCGAAGATTTTTCATCGAATGAATGAATATCGATTGAATGCGAAAAGGAAAGATTTCGAATAAACGAATATTGAATAAATTCGAAAATAAAAAATCTCGAATAAGCGAATATCGAATAAATTCGAGGTTTATAGATTCTCGAATGAATGAATTCTGAATAAATTTGGAAAATCAATATCGAATGAATGAATCTTATATATAAAGCTGAATGTCTGTATGTCTGTATGTCTGTACGTATGTGCGGAATAGAAATTTTTATTTCTGGACCGATTTGGACCATTTTGCACAGGGGGGTAATCGAGCATGCTGATCACCCCGGAGGGGTTGATCAGCATGCTCGATTACCCCCTGTGCAAAATCCTAGCCCCGTAGCTCAAATTTTGCAAAAAATCGATAAAATCGATATCGATCGATAACGAAAAGTGGACTATGACACGCTCCCTGCCCCGAAGTGTATGTGTGCAAAGTTTGGTCCCGGGCGGAGCCGGGTTTGCCATCTAGTATCGAATATATTCGAACATTGGAAGTCGAATTTCGAATAAATACTTGAATGATTTATCGAGTAACTAGAGCAACCAAATCTCAAACTTGCCAACATATCTGGCTAAAGTCGATCCATTCATAAACAGCACCCTCGTATCCCCTATACCAACTCTTAGCCCAAAATTTTCCAAAAATTGCTGAAATTGTTAAAATATTAGGTTGTCCCAAAGTTTTGTCCGTTTTTTCAAACCACTATAAAACCAGGCACAATGAAGACCTGAATGAGTTTCAACATGCATTCGATGCAGCTTTTTTTTCTCTTTCTTACGGATATATACGCGAACCATGATCTTGTAGGCTTTCTTTAATAATTGCCAAAATTCTTCACCCGTTAATTATATCTGCTCAAAGTTCGGCTAATTTTCAAAAATTTTGTTTGAAAGTTTTGGGTAATTAAGTATGCATCAAATAGAGCAATTCTCGGACTACAAGATGATTTTTTATATTCTTTTACTCTGCTGGTTTAGCTTGAAAAAATTTTTTTTTCGGAGGTCTCGATTTTTGCCCAAGTCATGAAACACACAACTGCAGCAAATAAAACGAACCCTTTGGAATTCCTGTAAATTGAAACAAATTTTTATTAAACATTAAATAAAGGATAAAGGATTCGGCGTCTTCAATACCCTCTGAGGGCATGCGCCGAACGCACACACTAACTTCATAGTCGAAGAGGCAATTGTATGCGTGCGAGCCTATTACCGTGACTTGCGGGGGCCAGCCGTTTCCAAGTCAGTGCTTTTATCCTCCCAGATTACTCTGGTACCAATTTACCGGCCCCGGGGGGTAGAGGGCTTGGTTGGCCCAGGGGCGGGGATCGAACCTGCGTCCGATCTGGTCATGGCGGCGCCTCATACCACTACGCCACTCGTCCCCCTTATTATTATTAAACATTATTTGTGCAAAAAAACCAAGTTTGATTTGCTTTGAGAAAGCAGCTTTCTGGAATTTTCGATAATTTTAGGTGATAAATGTAATCAAAAAGCCGAGGTTTTTCCCGATAAAAGCGCCTCATGTAATCTAAAATAGATGAAATGTAGCCAAAGGTTTGCTCTACATAACAGTTTCCAGCGCTCCTTGAAAACGTTGGAATAAAATTTTTTGAAATTTGGGAAAGATTTCGCGTTACTGCTGAGTTGCTCGAAAAGCCATGTCGATAACCTCGCAAATACAGGGTAGATCAGAGAGCAGAATAGCTTTAAGCTGAATCGAAGGATACCTAAGACATCCATGGATTGGTGTTCTGTGAGTTTTAGTGAGCAATGAAAAAAACTGACAAAACTGTCGGGACAACCTAACAGATTTCGGTTTTAATCAGCATCCTCATTTACCCCCCCCCCCCCGTACCAACTCCCAACCTCGTAGCTCAAAATTTTCCAAGAATCGATAAAATCTAAAGTAAATTTTTATTCATAATCAGCACCCTCACTTACCCCTGTACTCCCAGCCCCGCAGCTCAAACTTCTCGAAAAATCGAATTCGAATATTCCACGAAGCGAGCACGAATCCCCCTATAGTTCCGGGCATATTGCAGGCACTTTAGTGACGACGTGGTTTGACAATAGTCAAATTCTCCAAAACTTGTTCTAAAAGTACAGAATGCAGGGCATTTATCTTTCTAGTAAATTGTACACGCTAAACATTTGTGGTAAGCTGGCGTTACATTTGAAGACATCTCGTAACTGGCAAATCGCGTACGGCGATCTAAACCGTCTAACTCTCCACTACAACTGCGATGTCCTTTACTCAAAATACACCAATTCGCAAAAAATCTCTAAGGTAACGAATAGAGGCAGGTTTGCAATATAACTTATGCGAGCAAGAGTGCTCATTAGTGTGGGTTTTGCGTATCACAAGCATGAGCAATGCAAAGAAACAAAGGCATTTCAAAACACTTCCGATATATGACCTCGGAACATGAGCTTGAATTTGATAGCTTCTTTACTGATTGGGTGCCAATAGCAGTGTGAGCAATCCCATTGATCGAAAAAACATCAATCCAAATCCACATATGATTTTTTTTACTATCGCAAGCAGTCGGAAGAATGCGACTCTCCATACATCAAAGGTCATAACGGTTGCAAAAGATGCATTACCGCGTTTTGCGAAAAAAAACGCGGACGAAGTGAGCTTGATATTCAGCAGTTGGCTCTGCAACAAAGTCGAATAATCCAAATACGGAGTTCATTCGAATACGAATTCGAATAAACATTCGAATAAAACATTCGAATAAAGCATTCGAAATGAAATCTATTCGTAACCCCGTTTTATGATTATTCGAGATTTCGAATAATATTTGAATCCCCGCTTTTTGATTATTCGAGTTTCGAGTTTTATTCGAAACCCCGTTTTCTCAATTATTCGAGTTTCGAATATTATTCGAAAATGGAAGAACTCCGAATATCGAATTTCGAATACGAATATATTCGAATGTTTTATTCGAATGATCGAATTTCTATTCGATTCGGACCCAAGTATAATGCCGACCAGCTTGCATTTCGGTTGTGATACTTTTCCAGCCCGAAATTTTCAAATGTAAAATGAAAATGAATGGAAATCCCGGCGACTGAATCGCGACGATCAAATCGCGTGAACTCTGTCCAAGGCCTGAAGCAACTCCAGGGCGCTTTTCGGCTTTCAAGACGTGTGTGCTTTGTGGGCGTTTGATTTTGTATGATCTTCTTTAAATATGAATATGTGGCCGAAATTAGAAAAATGTGTTTGCATAAAATCTCCTTGAAACAGCATATCTTATCACAAGTGCGTCACCTCTGCTTCGCAGAGGCTCGCACTGGCTCTACTATCTAGGCCCTACTCATTCCCGCATAATGATCGCATTGGTACTCACCGAGCGATGCCGACTATCACGAACAAACTGTAAACAACTACTCATTCCGAAAGTTTTTTTTGTGTAAAATCGGTGATTTCGCGTGGATGATACTTTTTGCAGGAAAAGAAACGCAAATTTTTATAGGTTTTTGATTTTCCCATGGTCTCGACACTTGCAATAAGAACAGCAGTCACTGTGAGCTACATTTTTGTGCAAAAATCTCGTCAAATGCTCTGGTAAAACCTTGGCAAATTGACTATTTACGCAACCAATACTTTTGGCGCCGTTCTTGTAAAGTAATATGCTTTTGATCACTTTTTTTGGGCCTGAGTTCGTGGCTTACACATTTACTTGGCATAAACATCCACGACTCTACAAAAAGTGAAATTACGGACCCAATATTGCGGCCCAAATGCAAAGTGAATCTGTTTGACGCGCAGTTTCTGAAGGATCCACTCAACGAATCTGCTCATGCTTTTACGTAGTGCACTTTCATGCGGGTAGCATGTGCTATGCAAAATTTGAGCCCAGAAGGTTGGCTGGAACTCGCGCTATGATTTTGTGACAGACAGACATTCACACAGAAAGACACACAAAAAAACGTAAACACTCCTAGCGCGTTATTGTGGTAGGATAATTGTCTACTCTGTCTCTGCCAAAACAACAGGTCTTATCAAACTTGGTGCGCATACTTGCAATCACAGCTATGACAGATATCACAGATATGACATATGCTCGTCATTGAGTTTGAGTTGCAATGTGACATCGATAGATGGTTTCGTGAACATGTGTTTTACACTTGAAGAAATTCTATTTCAGAAGAGGAGATCGAATATACTCCCGAACAGATGGACTGGACCATGGAAGAAGGAAAACAGGTCTAAATGGATATTGTCAAAAACTCTGAAACGTTACCTCCTTTTAGACGTTATGGGTCATGAATCGAACTTTGAGTCAGATAGCGTTCAAAGTCAAATGTTCTAACAATAAAGCATTCTGGTAAGTAAGTAGTCATTAAATGCACACACACATGCACATCGAGATCAGTGTTGAACCGTTTGCTTGTCAGGGTCAATCCGGTGTTCGGCACTGTGGAAAGTGGAGGTGCGGCTGAAATAGAAGTGCATCGTAATGGAAATAAACCACTCAAAAACAACGACAAGATCGTCGTATGCACTGCTAAGGTAACATTAATTTCACCATTTATCACTCTTCCAGCAAAAGTCCCGTATACTTTTTAAATGAAGTTTCGAACAGAGCGTCTTAAAAAGAGGCATTTAATCGAAAGGCTGTCAGGCAGTGGCGTACCCAGGATTTCGGCTCGGGGGGGGGCGCGGCAAAAAATTTTTTTAAATGAAGGTGCGTGGCGTTAGCCACGCACTCCGAAAAAATTTTAGGGGTGCTTCTCAAAATTTTGCGGGTCCGCAACCCCTAAAATCTGGAAAAAGGGGGCGTGGCGTCAGCCACGCCCCCGAAAAAATTTTTTTTACAAAGCTACTTTGAATTTTTAAAAATTTTTAAAAATTATTTTAATTATTTACAAGTGTAAACAAGTCATTTGCACATTTTTATAACCCTTATAAGTAACTTTCAAAAATTTCGCGACCCATTCTCGAGGGGGGGGCGCGCGCCCCCCCCGCCCCCCCCCCCCCTCGGTACGCCACTGCTGTCAGGGGATAAAGATTGGCTACATACCTACAGTGTATTTCTACTCCAAAAATTTGTTCGAGTCGGCATCTCCAGTTATTGATGTCACATTCTTGTTTGGCCATTATTCTGATTCTCTGGCAGTCGCTTTGAATAATCTGATGGGCACCGATTCGCAGGTTCACGAAATCCACCCCTACGATGAGGTAGATGTAAAGCTGCGGCAAGACGGATATTCTGTTGAAGGCCTGCCAGCGATCGTTAACGATGGTATTAGACCTAAAGTACTTCAACATAAGCCTCAGCAAGGTTCTCGCATCCGGTCGTCGAATGAGCACTAGATCGATCGGCCACTTCCTCTTTCGTAGCCTAGGGATAGCCATTAATGGAATAATGCGGCTTCGATCGTACTTTCTTTTCGTAAGCATGTCTCGATCTTCATGGCTGACACCTAGTACCTGGCGTAACCTTCGGAAATACTGACAGCACACGTCTCTGAAGTACTGTTTCCATTGTACAACGAACGTATGCCCTATCTCGAACTCATACATCTTGTCCTTAGCAGTCAAGTTCTATTCAGGAGGACAGTGCGAACACCTTGGCCATCGGAATCTTGCATTGGCTGAACAATTCTTTCAAGCTAATCGCAAACGGCTTATTGTTGCCGTTTCGGCAGTCTCTCCTGTAGCAGTACCAGAGCCTTGCGTTCACGTTGAGCGTCATAGTTCTCTGACAGGAGCTGCATCTGGTACTAACAAGAAGGCCGATGGATCGAAGCCATCCTTAGAAACCATCATCTCCATTCCAAGCTTCTTGAACAAATCAGTGAAATCTCACAATGCCTTTTCCATACGACGAAGGGGCATGATGCTATGAACGATATGAAGAATTCAGCCTCTAAGGCTATACAAAACCTGCTTTCCCGCGCTAGCATATAGCGCTCCGGGATCCAGTGTTACCAGTAGCGAATTGATGTTCAAAAGGTGCGGGCAATCGACTTTACAATCCTGAATTGTCTAGTCTTGTATATATGTCCAGTACGGCCTAGTATATGCCCAAACATCCCTTGACTTCGCCAAATGGTGCTACCAGTTAATTAAACAGCACATGGGTTCGGAGTCCCATATAACCCTCCCAAACGAAGTTTTGGGCAAATCCTGATTTTGGCCCCCTACCATTTTCTTGCCATAGCTGATTTTCTGGCACGGTAGCAAGGCGCTACCGAGCGAGATGATCATCATAGTCGTATGCAGCGTCCCAAATAAGCTAGAAAAATTTCACTTTTGGGATAGCGTGGAATAGTATTTATAAGCTTATTGACCACGCAATCAAGCTTGTTTTGAGAATGTGTGCAAATCAGGTTCGAGTGTGTTTCATAGCAAATGGTAGCTATTCAACGGACACACCTAATCGAGACCTCCACACCGTGGTGTTTGGCCATAATAAGCCGAGCATATTTCGTGCGATTTCTGTCGCCACAATTTGCCGTGCCGGTTGCATTTTTATCACCACTGACAATTCATGTGCACTATAGTTGGAACCAAATATCCGTATTCGAATAATTTATTCGAAATATCCGACTGATTCAATATTCGAATAGTTGAATAGTCGATAAAGTCCAATTAATCGAGTGTTCGAGTAGTCGGATAGATAAAAAAGGTCTTTTTTCGAATAATTTGTTCGGAAAAGTAACTTTTTCTAATATTGGAATACTCAAGCAGGGCTCGGCACGAGGTGGCTAGATGAAAATGCAAAAAACGAAGTCCCCCTTGACTTTTGGGTATTTTTACGAAGTCCCCTTTGACCCCCCACCATATTCCCTAAAAATCCTCCAAAAAACGAAACGTCGACTAAAAAAAACGCCGCCAATTTTACGTGTCTTCGTCCACAAAAACGAAACCCCCTTTGCTTTTTGTCCCAAAAACGATATCCAACTTGCTTGTAAGCCACCTGTGCCGAGCCCTGGAATCATCAAAGACAGCCAATTGAATATTGGAATATTCGAAAAGCTTTGAAAACCTTTGTCGAATTTCGAATACTCGACTACTGCAGTTAAATTCTTCCATATAAAGCTGAATGCCTGTTTGTATGTCTGGGTCCCTGTATGTATGTATGTACGTATGTTCCGAATAGAAAATTCCATTTCTGAACCGATCGTGACCAAACTTGGCACACATACACTTCGGGGCGGGGCGGGTGTCATAGGCTACTTTTCGTCATCTATTGATATCGATTTTATCGATTTTTATCGATTTTTCTTGCAAAGTTCACCTACGGGGCTGGGATTTGACACAGGGGGGTAATCGAATATGCTGATTAAAAGTACAATATTAGTTTTCAGAATTATCGATTACTTTTATCGATTTTATCGATTTTTAGCAAAGTTTGAGCTACAGGGCTAGGAGTTGCCACAGGGGGGGGGGGTGGGGAGGGATGTAATGGAGCATGCTGATTACGAATGCAATATTGACTTTTGAAATCTTCCATTACTTTTATCGAATCTACCATTTTTTTTTCAAAATTTGAGCTGAAGGGCTGGGAGTTGGCACAGGGGTAAGTGGGCATGCTGATTTTGAAAACACACAGGGAACGGGAAATGAACTGGAGAAGTGGGCACAGGGAAAGGCTGTACAGGGATAGGGATGGGACCTTTATTACAGTGTCTTGACAGGGCCGGGCGGAGCCGGGTAAGCCAGCTAGTATTCGAATATTGTAGGCGAATATTCAATATTCATTCGAATAGTCGATGATATCCAGTTCGTTTAATTGAATAGTCGAATATTCAATCAAGCTCGATTATTCGAATATTCGAAAGTTCGAATTTCGGAATGTATATCAGAATTTCGACACCAATATAAAATCGGAATCACAAAACATTCGTTCTTTCAAATTTTTAGAATCAACTATTCATATTCATTCGCTCAGAAAATTTTCAAAAATCAATTATTTGATATCCGTTCACTCGATAAAATTTAGAACTATAACGTGCGTCTCCCAGGTCAGTGAAATGTGCCGCATGATCTGTGTGTTTGAAGATCGCTTACAATGGGTTAAAAGTTTAAAGCATTGCCAAATCGCGCGAGTTGTGTTCGGCCTATGAATGGACACGATCAGGACGGCGAGGAATAAATGTGGTCTTTGTGACACCTGTCTGACTTACGACTTTTTCCGAGGAATGAATAAATCTCTACTTTCCAGTACAACACTGAGAATGGGCCGTTAAACCGATTCTTCAAATTGCCGACCACAACTACAGAAGAGAAAGAAATCCGTCAAAGAACCGTTGCGTTACCCAGTCAAGATCAGCAACGTGCCACTGCGCCGGCACCCGTCGATAACCAAATGGAACTGATGAGATGCTAAACAGTCTCGCATAAAACATTTATTTATGTAGCTGTTGAAAAGAGAACCCAAGAGTTAAATGCTGTACAATGACAAATCACACATTAATGCATTGAAAGTCACTGTTCAGAATCGACTCTATCCAAGCAAGCTGAGCCTAGTGAGCATGTATGCGAGTGAAAGAAAACGGCAACTTTTTTCTATCAGGGCATAACTACGGTGAAAATCGGTGTCTCTGCCGGAAATCGGACAGGCGGGTTAGGCCTGTGTTATCGAAGGGAAGGGAAATGGGAAGCAAAATCTGGGAACAAAATCTTTTCCACGGCTTTCAACTCACTCGTATGTCGCGCTGAAAGAATGGTTCAGGCTTTTACCTAGAGACCTGATTTCTTGCGAAAATTCTGTTCAATTTCGAAAAAATCTTGCGTCAACAATAGTCTTTAAACCCTGGAAATTGCAGACGTTTGAATTTTAGAATTTCATTGTGTCTATCGCTCGTTTTGAAAGGTATCCAGACCGGGTTGCAGTCTCTTCGACTGGAAAGCCGTTCGAGGAAGTCACAATTGGCAAGCCCTCTTCCTTGAGGTCGCCCCTTCTCGCTCGCCCAAGGTCTTTGGCGGATTCGTCCGCTCGAGTTGAGTGGTCACCAGGGTCAAGCAAGGGGTGTGGGACACGATCGCTGCTTACGACCCCCCCCCCCCTGATTGCTGTCTCAATAAGACCCCCTCCCCCTGAATTATATACCTAAGATAGCATTACCTGAAGGCCCTGTCAAACATGATGGGCAACATATCCATAATGAGCATGTCAATTAACCCCTGTAGACAAAGTTTAAGCAAATGCTGAAGATTCAAGATACTAGACTACCTAAGTGAAATGGTATAAATGGTATAAATACTGTTCGCTAAAAATGTTCTTTTGATATAGTTAATGGGGTGTGGCACACCCCCTCAAAAGCTGTGGCTGCCACACCCCATTAACTATATTAACTCTTCTTAGCTCTGAGTAATATTTGGTGGAAGCACAGCCATTTTTGGTTGGCTTCTAATTTCACATTTTCCAACATGACTAACTTTGTTTCAAAGGTGAATAAGCTATCCGTTTTTGCACTCAAGACAAAGCACAACTCCTTCTTTGTCCATCGCAGAAATCCCGCTTCAAAAGACCTCCAAACTGTGAAATTAGAAGCCAACCAAAATCTCATCTTCCCATTTTTCGCTTTTAATGGCTGTGCTTCCACCAAATATTACTCAGAGCTAAGAAGAGTTAATATAGTTAATGGGGTGTGGCAGCCACAGCTTTTAAGGGGGTGGGGGAACGAAAGCCGCCAGGTCCAGCCGCCTTTCGCGGCCAGCTGGTCCTTTCGCAGCGTTGTTGCATGTCGTTCCAGGACCAGCAGTCCGCGGAGGCGGCTGGACCTGGCGGCTTTCGTTCCCCCACCCCTTTTAAGGGGATGTGCCACACCCCATTAACTATATCAAAAGAACATTTTTAGCGAACAGTATTTATATGAATCGGTAGCCTAAACCTCGTAGACTCCATAGGAATGTTTTAAGCCTGATTCTTCTTCTTACCTCTGATTAATATCTGGTGGCACAGCCATTCAAAGCAAAAAATGGAAAAAACGAGATTTTGGTTAGCTTCTAATTTCACAGTTTAAAGGTCTTTTGAAGCGGGATTTCTGCGATGGACAAAGAAGGAGTAGTGCTTTGTCTTGAGTGCAAAACGGATAGCTGGATAGCTAACACCTTTGAAACAAAGTTAATCATGTTGGAAAATGACCATTTCACTTAGGTAGCCTACTATCTTGAATCTTCAGAATTCGCTCAAACTTTGTCTACAGGGGTTAATTGACATGCTAATTATGAATATAATACGAATATCATGTTATCACTATTACAGATTACCCAACTACGACCCCCTCCCCTTTTGACTCCTCAATACGACCCCCCAGGTGTGGCGTGCCACACCCCACGCTTGACCCTGGTGGTCACCAGTCCTGGTACTTTCGGCATACCTTGCGTCCGGGTAAAGGAACAGGAAATCGGAGAGGAATACTTGCCTACAGAAGAGGGAAAACGTCTTGCACTCCAGCTGAAGATTCTCATCACCTGTCTCTCACTAATTAGCCGAAACTACTTGTGTTTAATTTGTGCTATGTTTTTTTCCTTTTTTTGGCACACCGTTGGTGTATTATAAATAAATAAGCAGATATTATCCGGTCACCGTTGAAATGTCCTGCGAGAAAACCATGTGCCGATCTTTGTCAAGAAAGTCATCACGTCAATTCTAAAAAGCACAAGTCCAGCATAAGAAAGACGTAATTGGCGTCCCCTTTTGCAGTACTCAGTTTTGTCGAAAAAAAAATTATGGCGATGTTGCTGTCAATTTTGTACAAGCTTCCGAAAACCATGCACTATTGACGATGTTATTCAAATAAATCAAATATTCCATTTATTAGGAGGAAATAGCTCGCATCAAAGTGGTGAGTCTAAATGTCAGCCTCAAGAAGTTAAATTGAGTTGTTACTATTCATGAAAGATATGAGCATGAAAACAATGCAGCATAGAGTAAGTAGGCCTGCGAAAACCATTGAACTTTTTTTGCGCACTTTGTCACCCTCGGCCAAGCTCATCCACTGCCTAAAGTTGCAATCAAGTAAGGGTTCCTATCACCCTGAAGTGCTCGTTCAGAAAAGCCTGTAGATTCCTTAGAGGCAGCGTGCACCCAAAATTTCGCCTTCGATGTTTTTGTCATTCTAGGGACTTCCTGCCCCTGATTACAGCTGTGACATCAAAATCCTCCAAAAGCCCCAAAAAACCCCAATTCCCGGGGACCCTATCTTCAGAGGGCGGACGAGTTTCGAAATGCTCGTCCCCGCCGCCATGCCAGCGAGGAGCATCTGCAACTGCATAGCAGCCTGCAGTTGCAAGTGCAACTACAGCGTATGCTGTCATGGATTCGTCGTCCGAAGGAGGCGGACGACCGCAAAAAGCAACTGCACTATTGCAACTGCAACTGCAACTGTAGCTTACGCTGTCGTGGATTCGTCCGAAGGAGGCGGATCGAAAAGAAAGGGGCGAAGCGAAAGGAGAATCAGGCGGGTTTTCTCCACTTAGAAGCAACATTGGGAGACCGGACCAACGCATTTGGTCTTCTTCTGAACCTTAGATAAACATGGTATAAAGAACTGGGTAACTTAGATTTTGAATGTACGCTGCCTTAAATAGTTTTTACGCGAAATATCGCATTGACAACAAAGCCTAGTCAGTGTACTCGAATTAAAGGCAGTGTCTAGGCAAATTTGGGCATATGGCTTTTTTTGACTGGAAACCGCCGAGGAGGTTCTAGTTAAGGCATTGCCCAAACGGCAGCGCAAATGGCTCATTCACGACTGAGAAATCCATCTCTAAACACTCCCTGGCTGCGCCGTGACCGTAACACTTGGGATGGGTCCGCGCGAACGTAGTGTTAAAGTGAACAAAGTCGTTTTCGGGTTACGGTCACGGCGCAGGTGCGGGGGTTTTTAGGGGCGGATTTCTCAGCCGTGAGTGAACAATTTGCGCTGCCTCTTGGGCAGTGCCTTAGTTAGGACCCTCTCATCAATTTTTAGGTGAAAAACAAACGCACCAGATTTGCCTGGACGGGCCTTTAAAGTGGAGATAACACAAAATAAACCTACAAATTACGGAGCTTTCACTCTTCAGGAGTTCTCCGTGATCACAACTTCTTTTCAGCTTTGCCTGCATGCATAGGTGCGATGGTCTGAGATAGGTACCCCCCAAAGTGAAGGGGGTCCCGGCTGTTTTTGACTCCCAAAAATGAAGGATGTCCAAAAAGTGCGGACGTCGACCGGGGGGGGGGGGGAATCTTGTAAAAAATGGAGAAAATCAAATCATTCCGTTTAAATACTCAAACTTTTGAATGAATTTGTATAATTTTTTATGATTGGCGTAGTATTTACAAGTACTTTGTTTTCAGTACTGTCTTTGAGGTGAGGTGATAGTGTGCATGAAGTGGAGTAGATCTGCGGTAAAAGAATCTACTTATAGAGTGTATGTAACGAGAATGCAAGGGACGAATTCCTAGCCAAAAATCCTCGTTCTAAAATCGGGACCCCCTCACTGAAACGAAGTAGTGCTGAGGCGAGAAAATACTTAGTTTGAAGTTGAGAGATACGTTTTTGAAAAATCATATTCTAGGAAATTTATGGAACGAGAAGTACATGAGTCGGCATGGAAGGGCGCGTGGTCATGAAACGAATGGTTAGAGTGGAGCTCGACGTGGGCGTATTGGACAAGAGGAAAATATTTGTTGTTGTTGTAATGTTGCTGCAAATATAATAAGTTGCCACTGTGTTTTGATTTTTGTGTAAACAGTAAACTGAAATGTTGTACCCAGTTAAAGCCGTAGTGAGTGAAGCCATGAAGTATTCAGGTAAGCTTCTTCTCCGATTAGTACAATGTAAAGTGATCACAGACACCGAAGCAGGTCTGAGTTGCTAACTGTAATCTCGGTGAGGGGACCCTCTCATAATCTGACTTCTTTTTTATCTTTTAGAGGAAAGCGTACTTGATATGACCTGGTTGTCGCAAAGGATCTGCTGAAGCAGATCTTCTTGAGCTCCAACTTTACACAGAAACCCTTGCGTCCTCAACTCGTTGCTGCTGCTTTCCTTCTCTACAGCAGATCCTTTTGCGACAGCCCTATTTATATCAAGTAAACCTTCCTGCAAGATAATGAAAAAAGTAGATCATGAGAGGACCTCCCCGCTGAGATACGGACCGTCAACTAGAATAAACCAAAATCAATTTTTTTGCTATAATTCTTGCGTAAATAAACGAAAATAAACAAGAAGCTGGATTTAGCATCTACTCTTCAAGAGCTTTCAGATGATATATAGTATGTGAGGGCTCCTTGTTTTTTTTCGCCCTGCGACGGTGGTTGAGACGCTCCAGTTATGCGATCTCAAGTCTATCCCCGCCCCTCCATATGCATCAAAGTTTGCGGGGCTGAGAAGCCATAACTGGAGCGTCTCAACCGTCGC